CAGGTAATAAAGTGGAACGTAAGAAGATGAAGTTCCTGAACAGGAATGTTTCGGCCCATTAAGTCGTATAGATCCCTTTCAGCGCTTCATGAAATCGCCATCTAGAACTGTTTCTTTTTTGGATGCATATAGCCAGATCCAGATTGATTTTGCAGTGTCGAGGCAGAATGAGTTAAATACGACAGATTTTTTGGGTTGATTTCGATGCGTAAGACAGTAGATGACCCGAGATCAACATTTCATCCTTCCTGCTTCCAGTGCTATGATGACATGCTCATATATTAGAATAAGTCAGGGTTTGGACTAAGTGTCATTTGCATGAAGACATTTTAGGGAACCATAAAATTGATGTTTTTGTGTTTTTCATGTGTGGGATTGGGCTAGACGATTGTCATGACGAACTTTTGAATTTGCTGGCACACTCATTTACTCGCCGGCAAGAGCACTGGATAAAATACATGCACACCGCATTCAAAATAATTGAGTTCTTATCATTCGGGTGATAACATGCTGTAGAACTTTGTGCTGTAGAACTAGAGTAAAATATGTGTGCTGTAAAACTGTTTTGCTTATTTCTAGAATTCTGTTTCAGGACGAGCAGCACCGCTAGTATTAGTGCCCGAGCCGATTGCGCAGACGGGAGGAAGCGGCCGCTCCGGGAATTCAGTATCTCCTGCATCGGCGATGGTGGATGTTTCTCGAATACAGATGCCATCATCAGGCAGCGCTGGCGGCGTTCAAAGCCGATTTTTACCGCCATCATCATCGGAAGGCGAAAATTCACAAACTGAGCAGCCTAGTGTGCAGGCAAAAGCACCCAGCTAACGTAGAACGAACGAGCAGAGGCGACTTCATGTTTTTTGCATAATCTGGTTCAACTCTCGGGCGCCCTGTTGCTGTAGTAGTGCCAGGGCTGCTGCTGCTGCTGCTGCTGCTCGCTGGGATGAGGAGGTATCAGTCGATTGAACAATACACACTTGTATTACTTTTACGGTTTTTATTACCACTATTATTAATTTTGTTGGATATGCTTGTGAATCGAATCGAGAGAATGTACTGCAAAACTTGTGCACAAGCACCCAAACTCTATTATTATCGAAAAAAGCATTCCTTGTGACTGAGCTGGCAGCGGGATTGATTCTACGAGATGAATCCTTAACCTCAGAGAGAGATTGATTCGCATTTTTCTCGATTTTTTTCAGTGCATAGCTCTTCTCAAGTGTCAACCTGCCCCCTGTTTTTTTTAAGGTAGAGGAGGGGCAGGTTGGTGCGTTTTTTTTTTCACTCCACTACTGCAAATTTGTCTTTTGTTCCTTTTCATTGTTTCTAGTCGTATTAATATGAAAAGAGATGAGTGTGTTTTGGAAAAATGAAAAAGCCAGAAAATGCTAAGAGAAACAGAAAGACGCACGTGGACATCTTCTCTCCTCACGGTTCCCAGCGCAACAGTTGCACCTCTTCTCCGTAACACTGCTAAACTGCTGGTTAGTTATCCGCTAATGCATTTTTTCAAAAAAAAAAAAAGCTTGAACCAAGCCAAAATCCTGCCACCATAAACCCTTAAGCTAGTCAAGGACCGTTGGTGGTCAGTTGGAAGTGCGGTCGAGCCAAGCATGTAGCATTATCATCACGGCCAGAGCCAGATTAGACCACTGGACATGTCTATTTTGATGAGTGAACGGAATGGAACGGTCATTCTCGGGAAGCAGCATACTAGCTTTGATCGTAAAGGGATGTGTTCCTGAAACAACGCTGTTATTAGCTACCTATTCGCTGGAACAAATTGAACGGCCTCGAAAAGACCGGAAAATACCCAGCGCAAAGGTTCTGTGATTCTTCGTACTTGTGCTCCTCTGCTATAACATGGAAAATCTGCGCTTGATGTGTCGTGATATGATTTACGTGGATTTCAGATCCAGAAATCGCTAAGATCCAGTGCGTGTGCAAATTTTCGTGGTTGGACAGATAATCCTCAGTGTGCCCTCCCTCGCCCCCCCCCCCTCTCCCTTCCTCTCCTAAATCCCATTACTACAACCACGAAAACCAGGTCCACATGTCCGTTATGAATGGCAGTCGAAGACTTCAGAAGACGACTAGGTGTGTTCTTGTGACATGTAGGTTGTGTGGTCAGCTCCTTCACGCTTGATGAAAATCGTTCGTTTTCTCCTTGATCAGTTTTATCAGCAGCTTCTCGTTCGAAAAATCGGCCCTCTTCCTCCGAAACATTTCATCCTCGACGAAAAAACCCGTAAAACTGTAGTAAACTGACTAAAAATGAGCATTTCTGCTCCATTTCTTGCGTGGGACGATGAGGTGGAGAAATGTACTTGAAGACTT